CAGGTCAGTGCTTCTGGTCCCTCTTCATGCGCCTTGTGCCCAGGTCAGTGCTTGTGGTCCCTCTTCATGCGCCTTGTGCCCAGGTCAGTGCAGTGCTTGTGGTCCCTCTTCATGCGCCTTGTGCCCAGGTCAGTGCTTGTGGTCCCTCTTCATGCGCCTTGTACCCAGGTCAGTGCTTGTGGTCCCTCTTCATGCGCCTTGTACCCAGGTCAGTGCTTGTGGTCCCTCTTCATGCGCCTTGTACCCAGGTCAGTGCTTGTGGTCCCTCTTCATGCGCCTTGTACCCAGGTCAGTGCTTGTGGTCCCTCTTCATGCGCCTTGTACCCAGGTCAGTGCTTGTGGTCCCTCTTCATGCGCCTTGTACCCAGGTCAGTGCTTGTGGTCCCTCTTCATGCGCCTTGTACCCAGGTCAGTGCTTGTGGTCCCTCTTCATGCGCCTTGTACCCAGGTCAGTGCTTGTGGTCCCTCTTCATGCGCCTTGTACCCAGGTCAGTGCTTGTGGTCCCTCTTCATGCGCCTTGTACCCAGGTCAGTGCTTGTGGTCCCTCTTCATGCGCCTTGTACCCAGGTCAGTGCTTGTGGTCCCTCTTCATGCGCCTTGTACCCAGGTCAGTGCTTGTGGTCCCTCTTCATGCGCCTTGTACCCAGGTCAGTGCTTGTGGTCCCTCTTCATGCGCCTTGTACCCAGGTCAGTGTTTGTGGTCCCTCTTCATGCGCCTTGTACCCAGGTCAGTGCTTGTGGTCCCTCTTCATGCGCCTTGTACCCAGGTCAGTGCTTGTGGTCCCTCTTCATGCGCCTTGTACCCAGGTCAGTGCTTGTGGTCCCTCTTCATGCGCCTTGTACCCAGGTCAGTGCTTGTGGTCCCTCTTCATGCGCCTTGTACCCAGGTCAGTGCTTGTGGTCCCTCTTCATGCGCCTTGTACCCAGGTCAGTGCTTGTGGTCCCTCTTCATGCGCCTTGTACCCAGGTCAGTGCTTGTGGTCCCTCTTCATGCGCCTTGTACCCAGGTCAGTGCTTGTGGTCCCTCTTCATGCGCCTTGTACCCAGGTCAGTGCTTGTGGTCCCTCTTCATGCGCCTTGTACCCAGGTCAGTGCTTGTGGTCCCTCTTCATGCGCCTTGTACCCAGGTCAGTGCTTGTGGTCCCTCTTCATGCGCCTTGTACCCAGGTCAGTGCTTGTGGTCCCTCTTCATGCGCCTTGTACCCAGGTCAGTGCTTGTGGTCCCTCTTCATGCGCCTTGTACCCAGGTCAGTGCTTGTGGTCCCTCTTCATGCGCCTTGTACCCAGGTCAGTGCTTGTGGTCCCTCTTCATGCGCCTTGTACCCAGGTCAGTGCTTGTGGTCCCTCTTCATGCGCCTTGTACCCAGGTCAGTGCTTGTGGTCCCTCTTCATGCGCCTTGTACCCAGGTCAGTGCTTGTGGTCCCTCTTCATGCGCCTTGTACCCAGGTCAGTGCTTGTGGTCCCTCTTCATGCGCCTTGTACCCAGGTCAGTGCTTGTGGTCCCTCTTCATGCGCCTTGTACCCAGGTCAGTGCTTGTGGTCCCTCTTCATGCGCCTTGTACCCAGGTCAGTGCTTGTGGTCCCTCTTCATGCGCCTTGTACCCAGGTCAGTGCTTGTGGTCCCTCTTCATGCGCCTTGTACCCAGGTCAGTGCTTGTGGTCCCTCTTCATGCGCCTTGTACCCAGGTCAGTGCTTGTGGTCCCTCTTCATGCGCCTTGTACCCAGGTCAGTGCTTGTGGTCCCTCTTCATGCGCCTTGTACCCAGGTCAGTGCTTGTGGTCCCTCTTCATGCGCCTTGTACCCAGGTCAGTGCTTGTGGTCCCTCTTCATGCGCCTTGTACCCAGGTCAGTGCTTGTGGTCCCTCTTCATGCGCCTTGTACCCAGGTCAGTGCTTGTGGTCCCTCTTCATGCGCCTTGTACCCAGGTCAGTGCTTGTGGTCCCTCTTCATGCGCCTTGTACCCAGGTCAGTGCTTGTGGTCCCTCTTCATGCGCCTTGTACCCAGGTCAGTGCTTGTGGTCCCTCTTCATGCGCCTTGTACCCAGGTCAGTGCTTGTGGTCCCTCTTCATGCGCCTTGTACCCAGGTCAGTGCTTGTGGTCCCTCTTCATGCGCCTTGTACCCAGGTCAGTGCTTGTGGTCCCTCTTCATGCGCCTTGTACCCAGGTCAGTGCTTGTGGTCCCTCTTCATGCGCCTTGTACCCAGGTCAGTGCTTGTGGTCCCTCTTCATGCGCCTTGTACCCAGGTCAGTGCTTGTGGTCCCTCTTCATGCGCCTTGTACCCAGGTCAGTGCTTGTGGTCCCTCTTCATGCGCCTTGTACCCAGGTCAGTGCTTGTGGTCCCTCTTCATGCGCCTTGTACCCAGGTCAGTGCTTGTGGTCCCTCTTCATGCGCCTTGTACCCAGGTCAGTGCTTGTGGTCCCTCTTCATGCGCCTTGTACCCAGGTCAGTGCTTGTGGTCCCTCTTCATGCGCCTTGTACCCAGGTCAGTGCTTGTGGTCCCTCTTCATGCGCCTTGTACCCAGGTCAGTGCTTGTGGTCCCTCTTCATGCGCCTTGTACCCAGGTCAGTGCTTGTGGTCCCTCTTCATGCGCCTTGTACCCAGGTCAGTGCTTGTGGTCCCTCTTCATGCGCCTTGTACCCAGGTCAGTGCTTGTGGTCCCTCTTCATGCGCCTTGTACCCAGGTCAGTGCTTGTGGTCCCTCTTCATGCGCCTTGTACCCAGGTCAGTGCTTGTGGTCCCTCTTCATGCGCCTTGTACCCAGGTCAGTGCTTGTGGTCCCTCTTCATGCGCCTTGTACCCAGGTCAGTGCTTGTGGTCCCTCTTCATGCGCCTTGTACCCAGGTCAGTGCTTGTGGTCCCTCTTCATGCGCCTTGTACCCAGGTCAGTGCTTGTGGTCCCTCTTCATGCGCCTTGTACCCAGGTCAGTGCTTGTGGTCCCTCTTCATGCGCCTTGTACCCAGGTCAGTGCTTGTGGTCCCTCTTCATGCGCCTTGTACCCAGGTCAGTGCTTGTGGTCCCTCTTCATGCGCCTTGTACCCAGGTCAGTGCTTGTGGTCCCTCTTCATGCGCCTTGTACCCAGGTCAGTGCTTGTGGTCCCTCTTCATGCGCCTTGTACCCAGGTCAGTGCTTGTGGTCCCTCTTCATGCGCCTTGTACCCAGGTCAGTGCTTGTGGTCCCTCTTCATGCGCCTTGTACCCAGGTCAGTGCTTGTGGTCCCTCTTCATGCGCCTTGTACCCAGGTCAGTGCTTGTGGTCCCTCTTCATGCGCCTTGTACCCAGGTCAGTGCTTGTGGTCCCTCTTCATGCGCCTTGTACCCAGGTCAGTGCTTGTGGTCCCTCTTCATGCGCCTTGTACCCAGGTCAGTGCTTGTGGTCCCTCTTCATGCGCCTTGTACCCAGGTCAGTGCTTGTGGTCCCTCTTCATGCGCCTTGTACCCAGGTCAGTGCTTGTGGTCCCTCTTCATGCGCCTTGTACCCAGGTCAGTGCTTGTGGTCCCTCTTCATGCGCCTTGTACCCAGGTCAGTGCTTGTGGTCCCTCTTCATGCGCCTTGTACCCAGGTCAGTGCTTGTGGTCCCTCTTCATGCGCCTTGTACCCAGGTCAGTGCTTGTGGTCCCTCTTCATGCGCCTTGTACCCAGGTCAGTGCTTGTGGTCCCTCTTCATGCGCCTTGTACCCAGGTCAGTGCTTGTGGTCCCTCTTCATGCGCCTTGTACCCAGGTCAGTGCTTGTGGTCCCTCTTCATGCGCCTTGTACCCAGGTCAGTGCTTGTGGTCCCTCTTCATGCGCCTTGTACCCAGGTATGTGCTTGTGGTCCCTCTTCATGCGCCTTGTACCCAGGTAAGTGCTTGTGGTCCCTCTTCATGCGCCTTGTACCCAGGTAAGTGCTTGTGGTCCCTCTTCATGCGCCTTGTACCCAGGTCAGTGCTTGTGGTCCCTCTTCATGCGCCTTGTACCCAGGTAAGTGCTTGTGGTCCCTCTTCATGCGCCTTGTACCCAGGTATGTGCTTGTGGTCCCTCTTCATGCGCCTTGTACCCAGGTTAGTGCTTGTGGTCCCTCTTCATGCGCCTTGTACCCAGGTCAGTGCTTGTGGTCCCTCTTCATGCGCCTTGTACCCAGGTAAGTGCTTGTGGTCCCTCTTCATGCGCCTTGTACCCAGGTAGTGTGCTTGTGGTCCCTCTTCATGCGCCTTGTACCCAGGTAAGTGCTTGTGGTCCCTCTTCATGCGCCTTGTACCCAGGTATGTGCTTGTGGTCCCTCTTCATGCGCCTTGTACCCAGGTAAGTGCTTGTGGTCCCTCTTCATGCGCCTTGTACCCAGGTAAGTGCTTGTGGTCCCTCTTCATGCGCCTTGTACCCAGGTAAGTGCTTGTGGTCCCTCTTCATGCGCCTTGTACCCAGGTAAGTGCTTGTGGTCCCTCTTCATGCGCCTGCTGCGCTCTCCTGCCTGGTGCGCTCTCCTGCCTGGTGCGCTCTCCTGCCTGGTGCGCTCTCCTGCCTGGTGCGCTCTCCTGCCTGGTGCGCTCTCCTGCCTGGTGCGCTCTCCTGCCTGGTGCGCTCTCCTGCGTGCTGCGCACTCCTGCCTGGTGCGCTCTCCTGCCAACCACCTGGTTGCATCTTTATCACTCCCTTAGCTGATCCTTGCCATGTGCCATGTAGCATGTCTCTTGGTTTTGGACGCCTCAAAACTAACCGTTATCTTTCTTGTTGCTACTCCTTGCCATGGATCACGTGTCTTGATCACATCCCCCCTAGTTACCCCCAGACCGCGCCTTGTCTCGTGGTGCCTCCCATTCCTCATTCCCTTCTGCACTGAGCCCAAAACCCCCAACCCCAAACCCCAAACCCCAAACCCTGAACCCTAGAGCTCTGGGTGCCTCGAATGCGTCTGCTGATGAGATGAGAGATCCTTAATTCTGCTACGGCCTACCAGCTGCTTTGCTGACATGGGTCGCTTTTCTGCCTCTCTGTGCGTGGCTGGCTGGCTGGTAGGTTACCAGATGCTGCAAAGATCAAGATGAGAGACACCCTCATTCCCAAGGTACTGTGCATTTTACCGGCGTTAACTTCATCGTTTATATACTTTCTGGCTGGAGTCACTTGTTTTGCAGCCTGGTCACTCCTGACGATAAAAACCCTATCAAAATTCCCTTCCAAATTTCCCTTCTCCTGATGATTAAACCCAAAACCTTCAACCCGAAACCCTCAACCCGAAACCTTCGTCACCCCACAGATCCTTAAGTTCCTGACCATAAAGCGGTCGCCTGACGCCAGCCGGGCGGAGTTCTTTGTCCACGCTGAGGCGTTTGCCGCCCTCGTGCACCTGGAATTTGTCTCCATTCAAGGTAAGGTGGCATGGTTGTGGATGGTATGTCATGCATTCATGTTAAGGAATGCATGTAATGTCTGCATGCCAGGCATGCATGTTAAGGCATGCATGGCATGTGTGGCATGGATGGCATGTGGGCAATGTGGGCAATGTGGGCAATGTATGACATGTGTGACATGCATGTCATGCCAGCCACACAACACCCACCAGAAACCTACAGCCTGCCTGTTGCAGCATTGAACCTCATGTGTCCTTCCCACTATATAACCCTATCAGGCGCGGTTACCACTATCCTCACACTACTGCGTAAGCCCGACAACCGCTGTGCCGCGGTCACCATGCTGGGCAAGACAGTCGAGCTCTGCACTCCCCAGGTGCATTCCCATGCGCCGCTCAGGTGATTTTCCATGTGCCGTTGGGGTACGGGTGCGATGACATTCCCATGTACCCCTCGAGTAAATCCCCTTGTGCTGCGCAAGCCCGACAACCGCTGTGCCGCTGTCTCCATGCTGGGGAAACCAGTCGAGCTCTGCGCTCCCCAGGTAGGTTTTGTATTTGTCAATGAAAGGAGATGGCATCCTCATGTGAATGGCATGGCATTCTCATGTGCTCCCCATGTGCTCCCCATGTGCTCCCCATGTGCTCCCCATGTGCTCCCCATGTGCTCCCCATGTGCTCCCCATGTGCTGCCCCTTTTCTACTCCAACTTCCCGTGTCTTTCCCCCTTGCCTTCCCCCCTTCCAGCTCGTGGCGCAGGGCGACCCCGCGAAGATGGGGAGGCAGAGAGCAGCCGCTGCAGCAACAGCACCCCCCTCCTCCACCTGCCGGCCATGCTCACCCCGTTTCTGCCCCAACCTCCCTTCTTCTTCCGCCTTCCCTTCCCCCCTTCCAGCTCGTGGCGCAGGGCGATCCGCCCGAGGTGGGTGAGCTCAGAGCAAAAAGCAAGCCCCAATATTGACATCCCCTGCTCTATACTAGCTCTCCTCCAACCCCCCTTGTCCCTCCCCACCTCTTCCCTCTCCCCCCGCCCCCCCCCCCACCACCACCACTCTGTCAGCTCGTGGCGCAGGGCGACCCAGGCAAGATGGGGGAACTGAGAGCAGCAGTCATGGGGCTCCAGGAAGAGGCGTTCCGGTGAGGGAGAAAGAGGAGGGAGGGGGTAACGGGGGGGGGGGGGGAATTAAGGAATTAAGGAATTAAGGAATTAAGGAATTAAGGAATTAAGGTGCATGGTAGTGAAACCGGGGGGTTTTCTGGTGACAGGAGCTGCGAGCAGCCGTCATGGGGCTCCAGGAAGAGGCGTTGCGGTGAGAGGGGGGGGGGGGGGGGGGGGGGGGGGGGGGGCTAGGTGATATTGGCGTGTGAGATGAGGAATAAGGGGGCAGGAGGTTGGGAGGAGGTGCGAGCAGCAGTCATGGGGCTCAAGAATGAGGCACTCCAGTGAGAGGGAGGAGGGGTGAAGCACGGTAGCTTGTAGTGAGAGGGGGGGGGCTTTGGCGAGACACAAGACGAGAGAGCAGGAAGAGGGGGAAGGAGCGGACATTAGCAGTCATGGGGCTCTAGGACAAGGCGTTGAAGCAAGGAGGGGGGGGAGAAGGGGGGGGAGGGGGGGAGGGTGGGGCGAAGTGAGGGCTTGGAGTGAGAGGAAGGAGTATTTCGAGGTGACTTTTGAGTCGACTCAAAAGTCACCTTGGAGTATTTCTCCGTTTTCTTACCTTGCTTTGTTCCACTGTTCCTTGACTGATCCTCCTCACTTGCGATTCCTTCAGCCTTCTCCGCTGCTTCTGCTGCTCCTTTCCTTCTTTCCTCTCCCCCCATTCCCCCTCCATTCGCCCAGCCAACCATCCAGCTACAACGTCAACTACGTCCGGGACAGCCTCGGCTGGTCTATTACCACTGCTGCTTGTTCAGCTCACCGGCCCTATCTCCATATATTCTCTTCTCCCATCCACCCCCCTATCCACCCCAGCTATGACGTCAACTACGTGCGGGACAGCCTTGGCTGGTCTGACACCGTTTCTCCAATGTCCACCGCTTCTGCTGTTCCTGCCTCTTCTGCCGCCGCTGCTGCTGCTCCTTCTACAGCTGCTCCTGCTGCTGCTGTGTCTTCACCAGCTCCCATCTCCGCCCAACTTCCCACATCCCAGCTCCCCCTTCCCTCAGCGCAACCCCCGTTCCCCCTGTCTCAGCCCCCCCTTCCGGCGTCGCAACCCCCGTTTCCCTCAGCTCAGCCGCAGACTTCTCCATCTCATCCCCCACTCCCCACTCCTCAGCCTCCCCCCCGACTCTCCCCGCTAGCACCCTCAGCTCAACAGGGGCAGGGGCAGCAGGCAGGCTTGGTTAACGGATCGCACCTTGCAACAGCACCAGCAGCAGCCGCAACAGCAGGAGCACAGTTGGGCCAGTCGCCACAGCAGCAGCAGCAGTTACAGATGCAGCTGCTTCAGCAGCAGCAGTTGCTGCAGGCGCAGCTGCAAGCAGTGCAGCAGCAAGCACAGCAGCAGCAGGCACAGCAGCAGCAGCCTCAACAGCAGCAGCTACAGCAGCAGCAGCAGATGCTTCAGCTGCAGCAGCAGCTACAGCAGCAGATGCAGCAGGTGCAGCAGCAGCTGCGGCAACTCTCTGCCCCCTCACAGCAGCTGCAGCTGCCACCACAGCAGCACCCGCCGCTGCCACCGCCACAGCAACAGCAGCAGCAGCAAGGGTTACCACCGCTGCCGATGTTACCACCGCTGCCGATGTTACCACCGCAGATGTTACAACAGCAACAGCAAGGGCCAGAAGCTCAGCACACGTTGCAGCAGCAGCAGCAGCAGCAGCAGCAGTTGCAGCAGGTGCAACAGCAACTGCAGCAGCAGCTGGTGCAGGCTCGGCAGCAGCTGATGCTCCTGTCTGGCTCCTCCCCTTCCTCCTCCGCCTCCACAATCCCAGCAGCAGCAGCAGGAACAGAACCATCAGCAGCAGCAGCGCAAGCACCAGTGCCATCAGCTAGTGGTGGCGTGAAGGCTGGTTCAGCGGAGGCCATGAGATCATCTCCGTCTCCGAAGGTGATTTTTGAGTCGACTCAAAAATCTCCCTCCACCGCCAACCCAAGTATGTTGCTCGCAGCTTGGAATGCTCCCTAACTGAGGCGCGTATAACTCTTCCACAAGCAACCACACCATCCCTCTTCCACTAGCAACCACACCATCCCTCTTCATCCGTTTGTAGTTGCTACGAACTCGCCAGCCAGGCCCACCATCGAGTCCGACAGTGGGAGTCGTAGAGGGATAGCAGGAGGGATGTGGAGGGAGGCCATGCTTCCATCAAGTCTGCTGATGGAAGTTGCACTAACGAACCCCAATTCGACTAACACACTTACAGCGGGCCGGGCGTTAGCATACCAGGCAGACAGCCAGTGTATTCCACGCGTGCCATGGGTATTATCTGGTATCATCACTGTGATGCCAGACTAGTCATGGGCAGCATGCCGAGCCGGGCTCGACTCGGCTCGACTCGACTCGCCTTTTTGGCGAATCGAGCCGGATTTTTTTTTTGGGCGGCTCGACTCGAGTCGAGCCAGGTCGAGCCGGTTGAGCCGTGCGGCTCGGCTCGAATCATCGCAAAATTCAGGGCGAGCCGAAGTCGAGCCGGCTCGACTCCCGAAGCGCGCGGCTCGCCCGTGGGGGGTCAAAATTCGACCCTCCTGGGAGTTGACAATCCATTCTAGGTTTTCGCCATCGAGCCTAAGCGTTCTTCTCAGCTATTTCACCACCCTAGCTTGCCCTCTCTCCACCAACACCGCTACTTTAGATATTTTTTCGAGTACCTCTTGGGTCTTGGTGTTGTAGGAAGGACCTAAGGGTTTAGGGACCTTTACCTGCAGAACCTTTACAGCGATCTAGCAAGACCTTTTCAAAACCTGCAGAAGAAACGCTTTTGGCGAGTCGAGCGAAGCCGAGCCAAAGTCGAGCTGACCCTTGGCTCGACCCTGAACCCCCGAGTCGACCCAACCATTTCGGGGCAGCCGGCTTGGGTCGAGCCGAGTCGGCTCGGCTCGACTTTTGCCTGGCTCGAGTTCAAGTCGAGCCAGGCTCGGCATGCTGCCCATGACTATGCCAGACTTGCCCTTCTCGTCGATACCTACAGCGACCACCAGCCACCATGCTTCACCTAGACATGGTCATATCGCATCGCATCGCATTATATCGCATTTTGCGATGGCGTTTTTTTTTTTTTTTTTTTTTTTTTTTTTTTTTTACAAATATCGCAGCGATGCGATGCGATTATATCGCGCGATTTTTGCGATATTGCGTTTATATCGCATTTTTTTGGGCGCGATAAAATGCGATTCGCGATATTAAAAAAATCGCCCTCAATATTTGGAGCTCGCCAATTTTTTTTTGCTGTTTATTTATTAGAAGCGACGTTGTAATGGTGTTTTGTGCCCCTGTTTGAAACCCTTCGGCTGTTCTCAGTTATCTAACTATCCAAATTGCTGCTGTAGTTTACTTAACCCTGAAATTTAGCCCTAACGATGCGATATTTTATCGCATCGCGCGATATATCGCACTCTACTGCGCGATATTTACAAATATCGCACCTACAACGCGATATGCGATTTTGGGTTTTTTATTTATTTATTTATTTAAATATCGCGGCGATGCACGCGATAGGTCAAAATGCGATGCGATATCGCATCGCATCGCATTTTGACCATGTCTAGCTTCACCCCCTCTTCTGAATCCCCTCTCAGCAAACAATCCCCTTTTTCACTCATTTTCTGCCAGGCATGCTGGTTCCTGTCGACGCCTACAGCGGCCACCAGCACACCATCCTGGCGGTGGGTGTGGACGAGAGCAGCGGGGCCACATGGAGTGCTGCAATGGATGGCAGTCTCATTATGTGGGGCGGCGATGGCAAGGTGGGTCTACATACATGGCGTACTGGCGATGCAAGTTCAATGTGGGGTGCTGGTAGCAGTGGGGCCACGTGGAGGTGGAGCGCTGCCATCGATGGCAGCCTCATCATCATGTGGGGCTTTTTTTTAGGCCCCTCAAAACTAGACTTCTATCATGCGGTTTTTGAGGCGCCTCAAAACTAGACTTCTATCACGCGGTTTTTTTGGCGCCTCAAAACGAGACTTCTATCACGCGGTTTTTGAGGCGCCTCAAAACTAGACTTCTATCACGCGGTTTTTGAGGCGCCTCAAAATTAGACTTCTATCATGCGGTTTTTTAGGCCCCTCAAAACTAGACTTCTATCACGCGGTTTTGGACTCGCCTCAAAACTCATCATGTGGGGCGGCGATGGCAAGGTGGGTCTTCATGTAAGCCTGCAAAAACGAACACGGTATCGAATACGGCAGGAAAAAAATAGTATTTGTCGAATACTTGTATGTTTTCGTATTTGATCGAAAACCACTTCCTATTCGAATACAAATGCGGTTCGAATATTCGGTTTTGTGACGAATACGGAATCGAATACAAATAGGTGGTCAGAACAGGGTTTCGGGTGTCTTCTAGGGCTTCCCACCAAAGACCGAGATAGAAATAGCCCCTCTAACCTTGATAGTCTATTACCCCCCTCCCCAATCACTTCCACTCCTGGCATATTGTCGAAGTAGCTGTGATTTTGGGCAGGTTATTTATGGAACAACATGTCACGCTCAAGAATCCTGTTTTCGTTTTTGTCCACGATTGATTGGTTTTATGGAGGCCGCAATCAGCCAATTGCGCGACCTTCAGATTTCACCGATTTTGCTTATACTGCGCTGCTGATTTTGAGAGGAAAGGGGAGTCGGGGAGATGAATGGTAGGCTCACATGAATATGAAATTTTCCCGAATATCGAATATTTGAGTGTCGAATATTCGAAACTTGCGAATATTTGAGAGTCGAATACTGCCGAATAGCTTCAGGATGTCAGATTCGTTTTGTATTTGATATTTGTCAAATACCGAGTATGAATCCAAAACCAGTGCTATTTGTTTGCAGGCTTATCTACATGGCGTACTGGCGATGCAAGTTCAATGTGGGGTGCTGGTAGCAGTGGGGCCACGTGGAGCGCTGCCATCGATGGCAGCCTCATCATGTGGGGCTTTTTTTTAGGCGCTGATGGTAGCGATGGCAAGTTGGGTCTAGGATTGGCACTGATGGTAGTGATGGCAGCGATGGCACTCACGGTAGTGACGGCAAAGCGAGTCTGTATGGGTGGATGAGATAAGAACAGTGGGGCCACGTGGAGCGCTGCCATGGATGGCAGCCTTATCATGTGGGGCGGCCATGGCAAAGGGGGTAATTTGGGGTCACTTGAGTGATGGAATATAATGGATTGCAGTGCTATTATGTTATCTAGCAAGGCACACACGATGTTTGAAAGCATCAAGGACGCAGTGTGCCGCCGAATCATTCCAAGATTCATGCAACAGATCTTTGTTGTACTAACCTACAGACTTGATGGAAAGAAGGCCTCCGCAGCCCACCTGTAATCCATCTACGACTCCACCTTTTGAGTCGACTCAAAAGCTGTAATCCATCTACGAGGCCTGCATCATTCCAAGATTCATGCAGCAGATCTTTGCCATCATGCGTGCTGCGGTCATGCGTGCTGCCATCATGCGTGCTGCGGTCTCTTAAGCGTGATGACATGGCTCTTGGGAGATGATTTCGCGGCGCGCTTCGTTTGTGGTGCTTCCATACATTGTGTATGTCGTGCCAGGGCTTGTCTGACCATAGGTAAAGATGTGATGATGCACATCCACAAAAAAAAACAAGGTGCTGCCATCAGTATATGGGTGGCATGGACCTCCTGTACTCTCCGTCCTCCCTGCTTGCTGCTTGTTCCTCTCTCGACTTGAGTCTTCTTCCTTCCCTCTTCCCCCCCCATGCAGCCTCTGCAGTCTCTTCTCTTGGGCGCGCACTATGTGTGTGGCATGGACCTCCTGTACTCTCCGTCCTCCCTGCTGCTCGCTTCCCTCTCTAAAGCAATCTACTTCTTCCCTCTCCCCCCCTGTGCAGCCTCTGCAGTCACTGCTCTTGGGCGCGCACTATGTGTGTGGCATGGACCTCCTGTACTCTCCGTCCTCTCTGCTGCTCGCAGCTGCGCCAAGAGTGAGTCTTATCTTAGAAAGCTGTGCCACTGAGACCAGATTATTCTAATTCCCGGGAAAAACATAAAAAACCACGGTAGTACTGGCCATGGTTGACAAATCCCTCCGCTTTTGCCTTCTCCCCACTTTCCACCAACCCTTCGTCGCCTCACGACGCTTAGATCAGCGTTTCACTTACCCTTTTCCAGTAGCTAAACCAGCTTTGAGGCGCCTCAAAACTTTCCCTCTTCCAGTATCACATTCTTTCCCTTGCTGACATGTTCTCCCTCCATCCAGTATGAAATTCTTTCCACCTCTCCATCCCACCCTCCCTTGCTGACGTCAGGATGACATGAGCGAGAGCCAACCAGCCTCCAACCCCAACTCGCCTTGCATCCTACAACTCACAGGCGGAGAGGGGCCAGGGGGAGGGGGAGGAGCAGGGGCAGGGGGGGGCGGGGGAGGGTGGCAAGTGACGGGCCGTCTGGATCGGAACACAACAAGTGTGATATCATGCATTAAGGTGTGATATCATGCATTAAGGTGTGATATCATGCATTCAAGCCCGACCGGCAGGTTGCATATTGGCAGTGTTGAGGTAGGTGGGGCAGCAAACTGTGATTGGCTGACGAAGGAAAAGTGAGGAAATTTTTTCAAGCGAGGGTTGGGATTCGCCGAGCGAGCCTCAGCTTCACGCAAGCAAGAAGCTTCATAACTTGGCAGAGCTGTCAACTTTCGCGCCTCTCCCTTCCGCAGCGATCCAGCTTGCCAGCTCTGCCAAGTTTGCAGGACGTGAGCTGGTTGGTTTTTTTTTCGTCAAGAAAAAATCCGGGCAGAACAGTTCATAAACAAAATACGGTTGTTATACTTTGCCGAGAACAGGTAAACACATCTCCCAAATTCGTGGTACAAACCAAAGGGCTACAGGACCGCCAAGGGGTCAACTCGGAAGCGGTTCCTTGCTGCCGCAGCCGCGATGATGCCAAGGAACTCCATCGTGGGCGGTGCATTTGCCCCGTAGGATTCTACCGCCAAGGCGTAGAACCCCACGTGTTCCGGCCTCCGCGGGTAGTCATACTCCTTCCGCCGTGCCGCCGCCCGTGCTGCCCACCCCGATGGTTTGCGGGCCTGGGGATCTTGGTTCAGGAGGACCGCATCAGTGATGGTGACATCCGTGATCCAGGTCTCCCCGGACTCGGGGTCCCGTACAATGACATTAGCTCGCTTGGGGTCATCCGGAGGTGAGTACATGGCGTTCTCCGAATACACCACCAGCTGACCTCCCTTGCCATCTTGACCAAGGCAAAGGCCAGCTGGTTGTGTGTGCGTGTCCTGTCCGGGCCACGACCGCAGCGAAGGAGGTGGTTGGGGAGGCTGCAGTCGTTGACCAGGTCACCACACGCACACACATGCGGCACGTTCATCCGCAGGCCCAGGCGGAAAGCCAGGGCCGTGGAGAACTGCCAGGGGAAGAACATGAGATCCGGGGATAGGGGGAGGGCGTGGAGCCAATCACCCGCGCCCGCTCCCCGCAGGCTGATGAGTCGAAGGGGGTGGCCCATCTCGGGGGAGGAGCGTACTTGCCGAGAATCGGAGAGCAGGTCCTCCGCCCGGGCAGCGTTTACCTCCATGGAGAGGCCCTCTCGGCGGTTGACGCAGCAGGAGATGAGGAGGAGCGCGTGTTGGGGGTGGGTGGAGGTGAGTGGGCCGAGTGGGAGGGCGGAGTCGGTGAGGGTGCTGCGGATGTGGTCGGCGCAGAAGGTCTCCGACCCAATGGGGCTACCAAGAACGCGGATGCCCTCCGTGCTCAAGGGGAGTCCAGCGGGGAGGACTTCAGGATCGATGGGGCGTGGGGACCATGCGGCTGATTTGGCGAAGTTGCACACCAGGCCACACTGCGCGAGCAGCGCGGCGAGGTGGGTGAAGGCAGCCACGGTCTCTAGTGGCGGCCCGACCAGCGTGATGTCGTCAGCATAGGCCAGCAGCGCCACCCCAGGGAAGGCTGCCACGGTGTTGGTGAGGTGGCTCTGGATGGAACCCGCGAAGAGAAGCGGCCCGAGGGGATCACCCTGACGCACGCCGCGGCTGCTAGGGATAGGGTCCGCGCTGTACTCGTCAGCCAGCGTCATTACAGTAGAGGTGCCATAGAGGGAGCGAACTAGCGGCAGCAGCGGAGCGAGGGGTGAATCACGTAAGGCTTTGAAGAAAGCCTTCCGCTCGACAGAGTTGAAGGCATTCCACACATCTCGCTGGAGGACAAGGTGGCCTGGTGTCTCAGCTGCCATTAGCCGGATTGCGTGGATGACGAGCTCTGCCCCTCCTGGCATAGAGACCCCAAACTGGGTGGGGAGGAAGAAATTTTTAATTTCCCCACCCAGTACCGCTAGCGCAGCCTTGCCTGTGATGCGCAAGAGAGCCTCCCCTATGGCGATTGGGCGAACCCCCCCCCCTGGTTTGGCGAACGCTATTAGTCTCGCAGGGGTGATGATGTCCAGGACTTCCCCGGGCACGTCCGGCGAGAGCAGAAAGTTGACCACCAGGTGGAGGTTCGTCGAAACCTCAACATTTGACAGTGCGGTGTCCCGTAGGTGCTCGAAAGTTGACCCAGAAGGACCAGCCCCAATTCCATTCGGGCAGCCACTGAGTACCTTCGAAAAAATTTCGAAGGGGATGTTAAGGTTGGTTGGGGGGGTGTAGTTTGCCACCCAATCAGGGAGCTCTTCTTCCGCAGGTGGGTGTTTGTCGCGAAGGGCTGCGACGCTGCTCGCTAGCGGGGGGGCCAGTTGCGAGGTCTGCAGAGCACCCAATGCCTTCGCCAAATTCGCTTTTCGCACCAGCCCCTCCACCCTGGACTTGATGCCAGCTGGGTCGTCACGGTGGCGTGCTGGCTGGGGTTGGTTCCGTGCCTCCACACATTCGTCGTACAGGCCAGCCCAGTCACTGCAGCGAAACCTGTGCATCTTCCCCCTTAGTCCCTTCCACCTAGATCCAGCTCGCCGTCCCATCCTTAGCGTAAGGCGTGGCAGGAAGAGTAGGATGCGCCAGCCACCTACACATTTGGGATCTTTCTTGAGGCGGAGCAAGGCCACCAGGAGGCATGTGGCGAAATCGCTTAGGACCTGCGGGGGCAGCTTCCTCACGATTGGAGGCTGCTTAGATGAGGTAAGGAGCGACAGGTCCCACTGCTTCCCCCTCTCTCCCTCTCACATGCGCTTCATGTCGAATGCTCCTTTGTATTATTGTTGTTCGACATATCACCACCATCAGGCCATTGGCGTACAACCAGTCACAGCTTTTATCGCAGCAGAAAGCGTGGGCCCAACTGATACCTCCCCTTCTTCGCCTCCTTTACAATCCTCCCTCTTCACACATGCAACCACCAGGCGATAGGCATACAGCCAGACTAGTTTTGAGGCGCCTCAAAACTAGACTTCTATCACGCAACCACCAGGCGATAGGCATACAGCCAGACTAGTTTTGTGGCGCCTCAAAACTAGACTTCTATCACGCAACCACCAGGCAATAGGCTTTACAATCCTCCCTCTTCACACACGCAACCACCAGGCGATAGGCATTCATCACGGCAGATAGCGTGGCCCCATCTGACACCTCCCCTGTTTCCCTTACTTTTCTCTCTCTTCCTCTCCCCCCTTCTCTCTCTTCCTCCCCCCCCTTCTCTCTCGCCCATGGCCCATATATCACCAGGCCATCGGCATACAACCAGACACGGCTTTTATCACAGCAGAGAGCATAGCCCCATGTGACACCTCCCCTGCTTCCCCTCGCGACCGCATCTGCTGCTACGACCTGGGGGGCGCTCCCTTCTCCAGCCTGCATCCTGTCAGGCAGTACACAGAGCACGAGGTGAGTGGGGAAGGGCATGTGAAGGGTTGTAGCAGCCTGCTGACCGCATCTGCTGCTACGACCTGGGGGGTGCTCCCTTCTCCAGCCTGCACCCTGTCAGGCAGTACACAGAGCACGAGGTGAGTGGGGAAGTCGGGCACGAGGTGAGGTTGATGGGGCACGAGGTGAGGTTGATGGGGCATGGGGTGAGGTTGATGGGGCATGGGGTGAGGTTGATGGGGCATGGGGTGAGATTGATGGGGCATGTGGTGAGATTGATGGGGCACGAGGTGAGATTGATGGGGCACGAGGTGAGGTTGATGGGGCATGGGGTGAGATTTATGCCTCTCCTGCTTCCCCTCGGGACCGCATCTGCCGCTACGACTTGGGGGGCTCTCCCTTTTCAGTGCTGCGCTCTGTGCGGCAGTTTACAGAGCATGAGGTGAGGGGGGATAGGGGGGATAGGGGGGATAGGGGGGATAGGGGGGATAGGGGGGATGAGGTGAGGTGAATAGGCTATGAGGGACTGCTAATGGCATCTGCTGCTAATGGGGTAACCGCACTTGAGTCCACTCTAATGGCATCTGCTGCTACGACTTGGGGGATGCTCCATTTCCGGCGCTGCACCCTGTGCGGCAGTACACAGAGCACAAGGTGAGATGGATAGAGTATGCATGGGGTTGTGCCATGCCATCCCTCCCCCTCCCCCCCCCTGTACCCACTTCTGCCAACTCCAACGTCACCCCTTGTGTTAATCCAACAACGTTACCCTTTCTCCTCTCCCACCCCCCCACACCCCCGGTCACCCCCTCCACTTTTCTTACCCCTTGACCTCGCAGGACCTCATCACCTGCCCGAGGAGTCTATTTTTGAGGCGCCTCAAAAATAGACTTCTTACCCCTTGACCTCGCATCACCTGCCTCGCTGCCTTTCCCCCAAACCCAACCTCTTCCTCTCTGGCTTCCACCATTCGCACCGAGGATAGACACCTCCCCCCCTCCCCATCCCCCCTCTCCCCCTTCTTTTTTTCTTTCCCCCCTCCTCCCCCCCCCTCTCCCCCTTCTTTTTTTCTTTCCCCCCTCCTCCCCCCCCCTCTCCCCCTTCTTTTCTCTCCCCTCTCACTGCAGGACCTCATCACATGTCTCACCGTCTTCCCCCCCAACCCCAACCTCTTCCTTTCTGGCTCCCGCGACTCCACCATTCGCCTCTGGGACAGACGGGCTTCCAACGCTGTTGGTAAGTGCCTTTCTGTTGCCTCCCCTCCCAACACTTCATCTCATTCCGACTCTTTCCTGGCGTCCTCCCCTCCCACTGTTGACAACATTCTTCCCTTTCTTCCCCCACAACCCCATTTATGCTCCCCGCTTTCTCCCCGGCTCCCTCCCCCCCCTCCTTGCTTTCTTTCCCCCCAGCCCTCCTTGGCTCCCCCTCCCCCTCGGGCCGGCCCCAGGCGCATGCAGGTATGGTAACCGCGTTAGACGCATGCCCTGCAACGGTAACAGTGGCGTCTGGAGGCATGGACGGTTACCTGAAGCTCTGGGACCTGCGCTCCCTGCAATCCCTTGGGAACTCCCCGCCTCTCGGTTCACTGAACCTGGACGAATCCCCAATTCTCAAGCTGGCCAGTAGCATGCTGCCAGGTGTCGTCGCTGTGAGCACTGTGAGGGGGCTGTACTTAGCAGATTTAAGTGGCAGTGTGGGGCCGAGTGGGGGTGGCAGTGCCAGGCCGGCAGGGGGGTTCCAGGATGGGCGGCAACCCGGGCGGTATCATGATATCAAGTGGGCGCATGGGCGGCGGTTGCTGTTTGCTGGTGGGGATGCCATGCGGGTTGATGTGTATGGGTTGCAATGACAATCGTAGTTACTGGTATGCCCTGTTGTACTTGTTACGGCGGTCACGTTATGGGTAGTCACAGCATTCTTTAGACTGGGAACATTCTATGGCAACTGCACGTTGTATTATGCAACTGTAGAGCTGTAGAGTGCGAAAGCTGTTAATAGGGGGGTTTAGTTCTGCTGTATCAAATCAGGTCCTGTGTAGCATGCTGCTTGAATAAACAGCCAATTTGGCATTGAAGCATTGACCAACACCAACATCCTCAGATTTTCCATCCCATGTGAAACTCAATGGGACATGTTAGCATCACAACAGCCAATACCAGTTTCTGGCAGTGGCAAGCTGCTAAATTCCTGGAATCAATCCAATAAAGGTCATGAAGAAATAGAAAGCCCTTGGGTTTCTACAAAATTGGGGGGATTACTTGCAGACTGGAGTAGCAGCAAACATTGTCGTCACGTGGGGAGAAAGGGGCTGTACACGGAAAATAACAAGGCAAAAGCTCACCCAGGAGGGGAAAATCTGGGTGGCCTTGCCCCAAAATCGGTTGACCTTGGCCGGACTCAGCTAAGAGAGACTCTTACTGCTGCTGAATCTCCTTGGCAATCCGGTCAAGCTCGGTCAGAATCTCGCTGAACTCTGGTCTCTCTTTTGGCGTCTTGTGCCAGCACCGTTCAATCAGCGAGCGAAGCGACTGCGGACAAGAATCCGGGATAGCAGGACGAGCTCCGTTAAGTGCAACAGCCACAGCTGCTTGCAGCGGGGAATAATCAGCAAACGGCACTCCCCCGGATAGAACCTCCCATAGGACGATCCCGAAACTGTACACGTCGGCTTTATGGGTAACCGGCCATGGACTCGTGCCAAAGGCTTCAGGAGCCATCCATCGATAAGTTCCGACCTCCTTCGTCATCTCTCCTCTCTCTCCTTTTAGTCTCGCCACGCCGAAATCCCCCACCACTGCGTGACCCTGCTTATCTAAGAGAATGTTGGCGGATTTCAGATCGCGGTGGATCATTCCGTTCTTGTGAAGAAACGCCATGGCCTGTGCGACGTCGCGTGCGACGCTCACTGCGTCGCCGAGCGAGAGACCCTTGCCCTGGCGTCGGCGAAGCAGGTCGTTCAGAGTCCCTCCCTCCATAAATTTCGTGACAATGCAGATCCGTTGGCGAAAGTCGACGCAGACGCCGAGGAACTTCAGAAGCTGCGGACACTGGCCGCACGACATCAGGGTTACGACCTCCCGCCGAAACTCCGCGACGTTCGCGTACGGGTCTTTACCCTCCCCTTTCAGCACCTTGACGGCGACCGTCTCCCCTTCATACGTCCCCTTTCTGACTTCGCCTGACGCTCCAACTGCTATCACGGGTCCCATGGATAGCCGAAGCGGGTCCAGGATGAAATTTCCGAGCTTCTTCTTCATGGCTCCCTTCTCGCACAGCAGCACTTCCAGCATGTCCTTCCCGGATTGCGAGCCCTGCTTCGAAGTGAAGCTCGGAGCAGGCGACGAAGGGACAGAGCCCAGACTGGATCGCTGGCTGTTATCTCCGTCGGCGAAGCTACTGTGCCTCGGGCTGGCCTTGCTCATGAAATTGGACAGGGTTTCCTGAATGCCGAGGCCCTTCGGGGGTCGCCTGATGGCGGAAGCGAGAATTTCCTCAATCTGCTTCTTGGATATATGCGAAATGGAAGCTCGGAGACAGAAATGGCCGAGGGTTGCACCAGCGGCTGTATCATATGTGTAGATCCCGAAAATCCGGATGCCAGATCTGTGAAATGCGGATGAAATGTTGCTCCGGCAGACATGGGTGCTGCAGGCGAATGTGACCTCGGTCCGGCTGGACGATAACGAGTCTTCGAGGCAGGAGGATAGCGAAATACCGCCGGCCGACGAGAAGGAGTCGTCCGTTTCGCTCTCGTCCTCCATGAAAGCGTCAAGCTCGCCGTTGTTGACGTCCAGCCGGATCGCCGGGATCCCCTCCTTCAGGCCTGATGCTTCTTTCAGCAGAGCCACGTGGCTCCTGACCGCGTCGGAAGAGTACCCCATGGATGCGTACCTGTCAGAAACGAACACAGGGGAAGATAAGAAGGCATGTTGATAAGTGAGGAGTCAAGGGAGATAAAACGACGAAAAAAACTAGGGTTACGGGGAGTGGAAGGGCCGCGAGGACGTGAACGGCAATAGATCATGGAAAGACGAACAAAAGTGTTACACTCTAAGACCTACCGAGGGGGAAGGGACTTGAAGTGACTCCTCAGCTGCTCCTCGTCGTCTTTGCTCCACCGACCGCCATTCAAGATCTCGTTGATCGCCATATCCACCTCCCCTTCCGGCATCTCTAAACTGTGAGGAGACGGAGGAGCTGCAGCTGACTTCTTGAACAATCGCGAGATCGTCAAAGCGAGCGGGTAGGTTTTCTTCTTCGTCGCTGCTATCGGAGGCATTGTGCTTCTAGGAGAGTCTAACGGGCTGGTTTTAATACTTCTCTGATCTTCGTTCTGTGACAATTTGGAGCATCCCGGGCAATTACTACCAATCCAGGAGAGCTTACGGGACGGCGACGGGGAAAGGCGTAGAGGAGACATGCCGACCATCATTTAGGATAGGGGAAAATAATGAAATGTCTGACAGCCTGATGGATTATTGACTAAGCATGTGGGGGTGGTATTTCTGACTGCCGAAAGGGCGAAGAGGTTAGCAATGGACACATCTGATCGTCTAAGAAACAACTCTTAGAGAAAGGAATAGACCAGCGCGCCTTTTCTGGGTCGCATAGGGAGGGAGGCAATCTAAGGGTGTCATGGGGGATGGGATGGAAGCCGTGATGTCAGCAAGTCGGATAACTTGAGCAGTCGGAAAATCCTAGATCCTACGGCGGGCTCGTGCGCGTTGAAGCGAACTAGGGCTTTAGGAGAAACGAGTTTTCCCGTGTGACCTGACAGGTTGTTGGTGACTGGGCAAACGGCCAGATTGTGGATTGGGTGAAACACCATTCCCCGCCTGTGTGATTTGGGGGGGTGCGGGGGAAGATACCTCCTCCTGGCTTTCAGTTGGTGTGGCGGGGGGGGGGGAGGCGAAAGGGGGGGAAAATAATAAAGTTGTGGGGGGAGTTGGGGGGTGTGGGGGATTGGTTGGGGAAGAGCTTGATTTGCTTGCCGTTCGAAAGCACATTTTGCTAGGGCACAAACCCCAGCCAGTTGCCACAGGTAGAAATTGCCCAGGATGCTCCTGGTCGAAATTACACCGCGGGTTGGGGCATACTGCGACTGAGGGCGGAGGTTGCGTGCGTGAGGGAGCAACAAACCGGCATGTATAAGGAACGTGGCTGGCTGGCTAGGGTTTGGGCAGAAGTTGCTTGCCCCTTCCCTAGTTGTTCCTTCAAGCAACCAGAACGCCATTGTGGATGAAAAGCGCAGGTGCAATCGCGAAGAGCCACATAGCACGTGCGAGCCAGCATGGCCAAGGCGGGACCACATAGGCTGTTACGGCTTCCACGCTGGACGGCTCAGGTAACCATGTCAGCTTCGTGCGGTTCACATCACCCAGGCCTTTCGAGTCCGTTCGAGCCAGGATTCGTGGAAATGCTCCCAAAACTATAACATGTCAGCAAAGGGCATCGGCGTGTCAAGAGCAGCTTCCAGCCTCGTCACGTGGGCTGTCGAAACGCGCGAACAGGTCAGCAGGTGTCTCCCCTCCCAACCGAAAGGCTGGCAATACCTCGATGGTTCCGTCGAACAGGGGAGGACGAGTTGATGTTGTTTGCTGTCGAAATTGGGATCCCATTGTTGTCAATCAATCATGAATGATAGGTCGCACTCTGACATTCACTGGCACGCACGTGGCTCACCAATCTATGCCCAATAATTCGCTAGATTTTACCACGTGGTAACGGCAATCGGGCCGCACGTGCTACTGAAGAAAGTTGACATGACGGCCTATGAGATTCTCCGTTTTTATACGAATATTCCATTGGTTCCTGGTAACTTTACAAAACCTTATGACACATCAAGCCCACGCTACTAAGCATGTGCTGCACATGTGATGTGAACCCTACCTTGCACACATGTTTCTTTCCGTTCAATGACATACCCAGCTGTCTAAAGAGAGGATTCTGGAGCGCACTTAATTGAGAAGCTTGGCCATGTGCAACATATGGTTGCACCACTCCTCCAGGGGAATGCAAAACAAAGGAGCGAACTCAGTGGCAGAGTAGTTTCCAGTCTGTATATACCGTAATCCGAGCCGATTCTACGGTGCCACTCTAGTTCTAGTCCTACTCCAGCTTCATGACCTGGCTGAAACTGCACACTACGGATGGTGCTTCCACGCAAGTTTAGGTGCATTTCCAAATGAGCCAATGCATTGTAAATAGATGCATCCACCAACAACCACATCTGTCTGTGCCTCTCAACACATGCACAACACAAGTAAACCACCCTTACGTATCATTGCAGCATGGGCGCAGCAGCCCCAGTGTCATCATTACCCCATAGCTTGATTGTCCGGTCGTAAGACGCCGTGACTACGCATTGCCCATCTGAGAGGGAGCAAGAAGGGAGAAGAGCGGGAGGCAAGGCAGGGAGGAAGGGATAGGGGTAGGGGGTGGGTGGAAAATCTTGGAGAACAGAAAACAAATGTAAAATACATATGAAACGTCATGACCGTATGTCAGTTAGTCCTTTAGTCAAAAACTCCAATCCCCCCTCCCCCTACCTCTCCCCAGCACCCAGCAATGCCCACTCACCTGCTGCCACGTCAGCACCCATGACTTTGCCCTCGTGGCCTGCCAGCACCTTCACAGGCTTGAAGTCCAACCCCGACCACACCTGAGACCGGCAACAAGAGGTTGTGTGAGGCGGTGTGAGGGGGTGCGAGGAAGAGGTGTGGGGGTCAAAGCCCTGCCAGCCCCTTCACCGGCTTGAAGTCCACCCCCGACCACACCTGCGAAGGGCAATGAGGGGGAGCCATGTGCACTGGCGGGGTGCGAGGGTTGGGCGTGGGGATTAAAGCCCTGCCAGCACCTTCACTGGCAGGAAGTCCACCCCAGACCACAGCTGTGGTGATGGCATGGCAAGGGGGGAGCGGGGAAAGTTGGGGGGGGGGGGGGGGGAGGGGGGAGGGGGGAGATTGAGACGTCTCAATCAAAGTGAGTGAAAAAAACAAGGAAAACAAAGTAGAGAAAGAAAGAAGAAAACCGACCAAAAACCAATGCCCTTCCTTTTCTACGTGCCATCTCCTCAGAGTTCAACAGTAAGCAACACGTGGATCACTCACCTTCGCTATAATCACCTTGGCCACACAAACCTTGGCAGTGTTGTCGTATCCAGCGGTGCGAAGCAGGTGCCCCTCCCTGGGCTCATACCGCACCACCGACACCACTTGCATGTGAGCAGGGATCACATGAGGACACACCTTCCACTTACCACCTTGGTTACAATCATCTTCGCCATAATCACCTTGGCGATGTTGTAGTATCCAGCCGTCAGCAGCAGGTGCCCCTCCCTGGGTTCATACCGCACCACCGACACCAAGCGCGTGTGAGCAGGGATCATATACAGACTGCCCCCATCACTCACTGCACTTCACCTGTGCTACAATCACAATCGCTATCCGCTATAATCACCTAGAATGTGTTTGGAATCACCTTGGCAGTGTTGTCGTAGCCAGCCGTCAGCAGCAGGTGCCCCTCCCTGGGTTCATACCGCACCACCGACACCAAGCGCGTGTGAGCAGGGATCACGTACAGACTGCCCCCACCCGCCCCTCCTCCCCCTCCCCCTCCCCCTCCCCCTCCCCCTGCCTTCCTGCATCGCCTGAGGTCCCACACGCGGCACGTGTGATCCTCCCCTCCTGTGGCTAGATGGTAGCCGTTGGGGGAGAAGTCGCACGCCAGAAGCTGAAGGGAGAGGGCAAAAGGGCGGGAGGGTGGCAGGAACGGGTATGGAGGGGGGAGGGGGAACCGCATGGCTTGCTGCACCTCCTGAAGGGCCACACGCGGCACATGTGGTCCTCCCCTCCTGTGGCTAGATGGTAGCCGTTGGGGGAGAAGTCGCACGCCAGGAGCTGACGAGAAGCCACACAAGAAACGGGAGCAGAGGAAAATAAGCTGGGAGGTTGGGGGTGTGAGGCGCCGTTTTGCTGCACCTCCTGAGGTCCCATGCGCGGCATGTGTGGTCCTCGCCTCCCATGGCCAGGTGGTAGCCATCAGGGGAAAAATTGCAAGGCAGCAAGCCATGCGTGTGAAGCTGTGTGGTCCTCGCCTCACGTGGCCAGGTGGTAGCCATTAGGGGAAAGATTGCACGGCAGGAGCGGAAGGGAGAGGGAAGGGATGAAGGAAAATGAGGGGAGGGGCGTCACTCATGGTTGAAGGGCGACTTCTAAGTGAGGGGAGGGCTGTCACTCACGGTTCTCACATCCCCAGGCGCAGAGGGGAGGGATGAAGGAAAATGAGGGGGGGGGCTGAAGGGTGTCTTCTAAGTCCCAGACGCAGCATGTGTGGTCCTCCCCTCCCATGGAGAAAAATCGCACGGCAGGAGCGGAAGGGAGAGGGGAAGGGGAGGAAGGGGAGCAACGGTTCGGATGTGGCAAAGAGGAGGAGGGGCAGGGCTAGAGCAGCAGCGGCACTTGTGGATCCCAACCCAACACACCTGATGTGACCTTGTGTATCCAGTGAGGTGGGTGCTGCCCTTAGATACCCCACCCACCGAACACAGAGCAGCATCCAGATGTATTTTGAGCCGACTCAAAATACAACCCACCGAACACAGAGCAGCATCCAGATGTATTTTGAGCCGACTCAAAATACAACCCACCGAACACAGAGCAGCATCCAGATGTATTTTGAGCCGACTCAAAATACAACCCACCGAACACAGAGCAGCATCCAGATGTATTTTGAGCCGACTCAAAATACAACCCACCGAACACAGAGCAGCATCCAGATGTATTTTGAGCCGACTCAAAATACAACCCACCGAACACAGAGCAGCATCCAGATGTATTTTGAGCCGACTCAAAATACAACCCACCGAACACAGAGCAGCATCCAGATGTATTTTGAGCCGACTCAAAATACAACCCACCGAACACAGAGCAGCATCCAGATGTATTTTGAGCCGACTCAAAATACAACCCCCCGAACACAGAGCAGCATCCAGATGTATTTTGAGCCGACTCAAAATACAACCCACCGAACACAGAGCAGCATCCAGATGTATTTTGAGCCGACTCAAAATACAACCCCCCGAACACAGCGCAGCATCCAGATGTATTTTGAGCCGACTCAAAATACAACCCCCCGAACACAGAGCAGCATCCAGACCTGTGAAACCAGCACCCGGACTTGCATAGCACCCATCCCTGCCCTCCCCACTCACCGGCCTCACATGCCCCTTCCAACCCTAGTATTCACCTCCCCGTCCTCAGGTCCCCCCCCACACCCGACATAGAGCATCCAGCCCCTGTCAAACCAATACCCCGACACACCTCGCACCCATCCCTCCCTCCCCACTCACCAAGCCATGCTGCCCAACTCACCGGCTTCACATGCCCCTCCAGTGCCACAATGCTCCTCCACGTCCGCAAGTCCGCAGGTCCCACCACCCCCGACATAGGACCCATCCCTAAACCCTGGACTTAAATCCACTCACCGGCTTCACGTGCCCCTCCAGTGCAAGTATGCTCCCCCCCGTCTGCAGGTCCAACACCCGGCACAGCGCACCCAGCCCCCGTCACATCAAGTCAATACCCATCCCTCCCTCCCACTCACCGGCTTCACGTGCCCCTCAAGTGCTAGTATGCTCCTCCCTGTCCTCAGGTCCCACACCCGGCACAGCGCGTCCAGCCCACACGTCGCAACCAGCGCGCCGTCCTTTTGGAAAGAGACGCCGTACACCGCCCGGCTGTGCCCCTCCTGCAGCAGCAGCTCCGCGCCGCCCCTCTCCACGTCCCACAGCCGCCACGTCTTATCAAAGCCCGTACTTGCCAGGAACCTTCCGGACGGGTGAAAGGCAACCCGGGCGATCCGGTCCAGGTGACCCGAGAGGCGGAGGAGGGGGGTGGAGAGGTTGGGGGCGGAGCCGGAGGAGGGGGGAGCTGGGCGCGAGGAGAAATCTACACCGTCGACTTGAGGGAGAGACATCGGGCCGTCGGTTTGGCCGTTGGCATCAGGGGGGTTGGTGGCGGACCAGGGTAGCGGCCAGAGCAGGGCACACCTGGGGAGGGGAGAAGAGGGGTGTGAAGGGCGGGAGCGGGGGGTGTGGGAGCAGCGCGAGCTGTGAGCATCCGACCCCCGGTTTGGTTGCAGGTGCCCAAGGAGTTGGTGGCAGACCAGGGTAGCGACCAAGAGCAGGGCGCACCTGGGGAAGGGAAGTGCGGGGGTGTGGGGGCAGCAGGGGGCGTGGGTGTGTGAGAGGGCTCCGAGGGGCATCTGACCGTCAGCTTGGATGGTCCCGTCAGGGGGGTTTGGTGGCTGAAGAGGGTAGAGGCCCACCTGGCAGGGGAGAGGGTGTGAACGGCAAAAGCGGGGGTGAGAGGATCGGACCGTTGGTTTGGCCGTTGTTGTCGCAGGATCATACCATACCATACCATACCATGCCATGCCATGCCATGCCATGCCATGCCATGGAATACATCGGCATACCATGCATCCCACACCCCACAGTCCCTCATCTCCACCCTGTTATCCCACCACATCCCCCACCTGATAGCGCCAGCCGGGGCCAGGTTGGGACCGGACGCGGAGAGGGACGAGAGCGCGTGGGGGTGCCAGGCATTGTGCAGAAGTCCTAACCCTAGACCTCATTCCTCAAGCCTACCAGTCAGCACCATGCAGCAGACCGCCTCCCCCCACCTGTCAGCGCCAGCCGGGGCCAGGTTGGGACCGGAGGCGGAGAGGGACAAGAGCGCGTGGGGGGGCCAGGCATTGTGCAGAAGTCCTAACCCTAGACCTCATTCCTCAAGCCTACCAGTCAGCACCATGCAGCAGACCGCCTCCCCCCACCTGTCAGCGCCAGCAGTGGCCAGGTTGGGACCGGAGGCGGAGAGGGACGAGAGCGCGTGGGGGTGCCAGGCCACACACGTGGTGCGCTCTGAGTGACCCCGCAGCGACCCCGCTGCCCGCACAGCTGGCAGCGACCAGAGGCGGCAGGAACCACTCCAGCCAGAGGTGGCGAGATAGGAGGCGTCGGGTGAAAGGGCGCAGGAGGAGATGGGGCGTTCATCGCCAATCTCTGACACCTGGGTGGCAGGGCAAGGCGGAGACGGAGGACGAGAGGACGAGAGGACGAGAGGACGAGAGGACGAGAGGACGAGAGGACGAGAGGACGAGAGGACGAGAGGACGAGAGGACGAGAGGACGAGAGGGCGAGAGGACGAGAGGACGAGAGGACGAGAGGACGAGAGGACGAGAGGACGAGAGGACGAGAGGACGAGAGGACGAGAGGACGAGAGGACGAGAGGGCGAGAGGACGAGAGGACGAGAGGGCGAGAGGGCGAGAGGGCGAGAGGGCGAGAGGACGAGAGGACGAGAGGACGAGAGGACGAGAGGACGAGAGGACGAGAGGACGAGAGGACGAGAGGACGAGAGGACGAGAGGACGAGAGGACGAGAGGACGAGAGGACGAGAGGACGAGAGGACGAGAGGACGAGAGGACGAGAGGACGAGAGGACGAGAGGACGAGAGGACGAGAGGACGAGAGGACGAGAGGACGAGAGGACGAGAGGACGAGAGGACGAGAGGACGAGAGGACGAGAGGACGAGAGGACGAGAGGACGAGAGGACGAGAGGACGAGAGGACGAGAGGGGAGAAAAAGGGGTGGGTGTGAGAGCAGAGGCGGCAGCCAGCCAGAGGTGGCGATAGGGGAGGCGTCAGGGGAGAGAGCGCAGGAGGAGATTGGGCGCTCATCCCCTATCTCTGACACCTGCATAGTGGAACCGGGAGCAGTCATGGGTAGAGGGGATAGCGGTTGTGAGAGCAGAGGCGGCAGGCGCCGCTCCTGCCAGTGGTGGCGAGGACGGAGGCGTCGGGGGATAAGGCACAAGAAGAGATGGGACGCTCGTCGCCTATCTCTGACACCTGCAGGGAAAGGGAGGAGGAATGGGGGGAGGGATGGGGGGGGGATGGGGGAGGGATGGGAGTTGTGAGAGCAGACCGGCAGGTGCCGTCACGACGTGGGGAGACGGAGGGGGAGAAGGGGGTAGCGGGGGGGGGTCGGGGCGGGGAAGAGGTAAGGAAGGGGTGGGGGGGGGTTCGGGGCGGGGAAGAGGTAGAAAGGTGGGGGGAGATGCTGCTATACAGTCATCCCACCTGCATGCTGACCCCTTGCACCGCACCCATAATTTCCTCCGCCTCTACTTGCCCTCCTCCCGGCCCATAAAGGGGTGGGGGGGAGGGGGGGGGTGGGTGAAGCACCCACCGCATGCCCATCGCACCCGCATACCCGAAACCCTTGCACCACGCCCATTATCTCCTTCGCCTCCGCCTCCTCGTCCGCATCCGGGCCTATAAAAGCGTGGGGGAGGGGGTGCCCATCTCACCTGCATGCTGAACCCACCTGCATGCTAAACCCTTGCACCACGCCCATTATCTCCTTCGCCTCCGCCTCCTCGTCCTCATCCGGATCCTCCCGCCTCCGCTTCGCGCGCCGAATCCTTTCACCTGCCCGGGGCAGCGAAAAAACCGCAATCGCCTGCCGAGCCTCCAGCAGCTCCTTGCTGCCCTCCGTGTAAAATAACTCCGCCTGGGGAACCTCCTCTGTCTCTAGAACCTCTCCCCCGCCTTCCCCGCTCTCCCGCATTTGCCGCTCGATCGCGTCATAGAGCTCGTCGAGCCGCCCTTCCGCGTCTAGCTTAGCCATTATAGACCTAAGTCGGTCGCGCCGCTCCATCTCGCGCTCGCCGAAGAGCGTGATTGGCTCGCCGATCGCGCGGAGCCGCAGCCGCACCGCCGTGTCGCTAGTCGGCACCGCGAGCGCGCGCGCGCGTCGCTTCATCTCGAGCTCCTTAAGCATCTGCTCCTGCCGCTCCTTAGCGCGTTTCCCGGTCTCAGATAACTCGTACTCGAATCCCTCCCCTTTGCCGGCTCGGCTTCCCCCTCCTCCTTCCCCTTCTCCTCCCTCCACTTCCTCCTGCTCCTCATCGTCATCCTCCTCGTCCTCGTCCTCCTCCCCTTCTCCCAGATTCTCCTCCATGTCATCCTCCTCCTTAATCCCTTCCTTGTCGTCGGATCGGTCCTTGTCCTTGTCGTCGCCTTCCCCGCCCTTCCCGGCGAAAGCGGCGGCCTGCTGCTTCAGCTTCTCGAGCCGCTGCTTCTCGGCAATCTCGAGGCTACCGAAGAATATCGGCTTCTTGGGAACGCTCGGGATCTTAGTATCTTCATTGTCCATGACTGCGATCCTACGGGCCAATCACACGGATGGGTTGACAGCGAAAGAACGAACGGAATTAGGGCAACCGACGAGTAGCCATGGCAGCTAGGTTACTTCAGCTGGCTGCTCCACTTTACAATACTCCGACAGCAGCTATTAGGGTTCACATCGAACGAGCTCTATTATACAAAGTTATCCTACGACGATGCGCAATACAATGTGAATGTAACAGGCCTCGAGTAAAGCTGCAGCGACTATCTGGAACCGGCCAGGTTTTGGGAGGTGAGTACCAGGTGGATGCGAAACGGCGCACGGTTCTGCGAAAGACTTCATATCCAGCTGGGTGTTACCAGGTTCATGGAATACGGAGGGCTTATGTTGAAGGGTATCTCATTTTGGAAGCCTAAAAATACTGATGTGTTACGCATTGTATCTCCTTCCGGACAATACTTGCCTTTTGCACCCTGGACAAGTGCAAAGGCGGGTCAGGAAGACCTACCATGACAAACTTAGCGCAGATATTTTTAGTTTAGAGATTTACGGGTGTATTTATCCAGGTCTAGTGATTAAAATATCACCAGACCCGAACGTGACCCCTGTCCGTATTTCTCCCAGCAACAAGCATGGTGGTGACCAGTCAATTGGGCATGGCCAGACCTCCCCAAATGCTGCTGCTTTTTCCCACTGCCCATTCGAACACAACCACCATATGCCACACTTTCCCTCCCCGCCCAGTAGCCCTGCTTGCCAAGCACCATGTTTTGCGGGAGCATTGGGCAAGTGGGATGCGCGGCGAGGTGTGGCGAAAGGCAATGCAACACAGATGTGGCGAAAATGTGCAACTGGGCTGGGAGGGCCACATCGAACCGCGATGGAATTGCATCCAGCGCAACTCGAGCCAGCTTGCATTGCTCCCAGTCCCGTTCGAGCCTCTCTGACCCTTCTGGCCCAACTCCACCCGCACCCACATATTTCTCCAACTCCCCGAACATCAGTCGCGTACATATGCATTCCGCAAGACACCTCCTGTTCAACACTACCAATTGAGCACATTCTCGAAGACCACGTCCAGAAATTAGCTGAGATCAATCAGTTCAATTGCGCTCCCGTATTCATATTCTCCTAAAGCAGCGCCACTAGACAGGCAAGTCAGCAACGCCTCGTTGCCATCGTCATGGCGTCTCGTCCGGCTCTCCTTCTGGTCCTCCTCACCGTCGCCGCGTGCTTGCTCTCGTCGCTCCACCCCTCGGCCGCCCAGACGGAGCCATTCCTCGTGACAAAGGCGCGCAGCACGCGCGCTTATGCGACCAACTGCACCAACGACTCGGTCAAGGCCAACGCCACGGCGGCGCAGAGGGCGCAGGAGCTCCTCGCCGCCAACGCCACTCTCGCCGCCGCGATCGCCGCCTACAACGACGCCGTCCCGCTCGTGAACCGCCTCAAGGTCGTCCTCGCGAACAAGATCGCCGTGCAGACCGATGTGAACGCGAAGCTTCAGAACCTGCCCGGGGAAATTGAGGATCATACGGCGCGGCTGGAGCGGTTGGTTGCGGAGAACGTGGACGACGCGTCGATGAAGCAGGCCGTGTCGGACGTGCAGCGACGCGTGACGATGACGGCGCAGCTGATCGACGACCAGCAGGCCGCCATTGCCAGCTTTAACTTCGAGGTCACCAAGGCGACAAAGCGCGCCGCGGATCCGAGCCTCGCGGGCACAGATCTGGCTGCTGCGAAGGCGGCTGTGCAGGACGCCATTGTGGCGAAAACCGAGGCGGAGACGATTCTCCAGGATATGATCAAGCAGGCGGCGAGGACGCAAAATCTCCTTGCTAAGAAGCAGGAGGCTCTTAAACAGCCCAGTAACGTTCAGGCGGACATTGACGAGCAGAGGCAGATGGTTGAGGAGGCGAAGGCTGATTTGGCAGCTGCAGTTGCTGCTCAGGATGATGTCAATGCTGCAGTGGTTCAGGCTCAGGCGGATCTGAACTATGCGACTGCGTCGATTCCGGCTAAGTCGGCGAATGTGAGCAACGCTAAGATCCTGCTGAGCAAGGCGACAACTTACAAGGTTAGCGCGGACAGTAGCGCAAATCTTATGGCTTCACGTGCCTATAATGCCACTATCGCTGCCCAGCAAGCTGAGGCGGCTGCGAAGGCTGCAGGTTACACATGGGTATGGTAAGTCGTGGGTTATTAATTGTTGCAAACTTGCTGCTAAATAAGCTTTGTTTCGTAGCAAACCAGAGCAAATGGGTTATTCCATTTGTTGGTGTGTATTATTTGTTTCCGTGACGCTTTATTTTGTATCACGCATTTAAAAACATGTATGCCCATGGTTACCAGCCGAGCACATCTCTTCGCACGCACGCCCCACCTGCAATTCAGGCTCACACCTTTCGCGCACACCCTCAAGCCAGCTGTTCGCCACAATGCATCCATACTCCGCCTCACTAGGTATTTCCCTGAGACACAACTTTCGAAAGTTTCACAGATTCGCGGATCTGTTCTTTTCCCACTGGAGCGCATTCCCAAACCGGGGGCATTCTCCCTTGAAATAGCCACGTTTAGGAAAGCATTACGTAAGTACTACCCTTACAGCCAAGCCTGGCAGGCAACAATCGCCACACTTCCCCACATCTCGCAACCAGAGGTCGCCACTACGCCGTCGAGCCGCAACAAGCAGACTTCACGTTCCGAGCCGCGCGAGCCTGGCTTCCGACAATCTGTCCAACATTTCGAATTCGCCTTATCACTCGCATCCAATCCCTCCCACTTCAAAAGCCGCAGCCAGCCCCCTTGAATCAATCATCACTTCCCTCGAGCTCTCCTCTCCAGCCCACCTGAAGCCCTTCCCCTCTTCCGCTGCTGCTCCATCTGCCTACCAGTAGTACAACCGTAATTCGAAGTGCAGCGTTTGCAGCCAAGTGTCGTCCGCCCTAGCCACTTCCCTTACTCTTCACTCGCGCACGCACGATGGCGTCGATTCGCAACCCAACCTTCCTCCTGCTGGCGCTCCTCGCAGTGGCCACTTTCGCGTCCTTCGCTTCCAGCCAAACGGAGCCTTTCCTCGTCACCAAGGCGCGCACAACCAGAGCGTACGCCGTAAACTGCACCCGCGACTCCGCCAATGCGAACGCAACCGCGGTGCTGAGGGCGCAGGACGTAGTCAAAGCCAACGCGACTCTCGTGAACGCGACCGCCGCGTACAACGACGCGCTGCCGCTCGTCAACCGCCTCAAGGTCGTCCTCGCGAACAAGATCGCGGCGAAGAACGCAACGGCCGCCGCGATTCCCGCGCTGCAGAACATCACGGACGAGGCGCAGGCGGAGCTCGACAAGCTCGTCGCGCAGGGCACGGACGTCGACTCGCTTACGCAGGCCGTCGACGACGCGAAGCGCCGCGTCGACATGACGTCGCAGCTGGTCGACGACCAGCAGGGCGAGGTCGCCGACGCGAACATCGACGCGATCGACGCGGCGAAGAAGGCGGCCGACTCGAGCCTCACGGGCGCCGCGCTTTCCGCGGCGCAGACGGCGCTGAACGACGCGATGGCGGTGAAGGCCCAAGCCGTGTCGATTCTGAACGACATGGTCGACCAGGCGAACCGCGCCGTGGCGTTTCTCCAGAAGAGGCAGGACGACCTGAACAACCCGGACTCGGTCCAGGCTGCAGTTCTGGCGCAGAAGCAGGCAGTGGCGGACGCTCAGGCGGATCTTGACGCTGCCGTTGCAGCGGATCAGGCGGCGGCGACGGCGGTCACGCAGGCGCAGTTCGACGTGAGCTACGCGAACACGTCCATCCCTGCCAAGTCGGCGAATGTTTCGAACGCGAAGATTTTGTTGAGCAAGGCGGTGACTGCGAAGACCAGCGCGGATAACAACGCGACGCTGTGGACGCAGAAAGCTTACAATGCCACTGTTGCTGCTCAGCAGGCTGAGGCGGCTGCCAAGGCTGCAGGTTACACATGGGTGTGGTGAGTGCTGCGGCAGGGGAGATTACAGCACAGAGTTGAATGGCGTTGTCCTGCACATCCACGAGTTTCCACCACCCAAATAAAGTGCATGGACATATTGTATGCTTCCCAAGAAATATTGTTTCATTCCTAGCTTTGTCTTAACGTTAATGAGACTTGGATGTTTTGGAGTAACCGAGAGCCATATTCTCCGTTGGTCCTCCATAATGCATAGCAAAGCTAGAAAAATCGCACTCTTCATATGGGGAGCCTCTTAGAGCGCGACATTGTGATATCGGGTGCTGCTCGGTTGAGGACAGTTGGGTTGGGTCGTCGTTTGTGCGTTGTAGTTTTCTTCAGTACAATATTTGTACTCAGGATGCTCCCTTAGCGCGTACGCTTGGATGTTCTCCCTGTTGAGTGACCCGCTGGGGTTGCCCTTGAGATCCTCGGGGAAGGGCCACAGGTGCAGAGCTTGGGGGGCTATGGGAGCACTTACCCGCTATTCAACAAGCCCTTTTGACCCAGTGGTTAGTGACTGGGTTTCTGACACTCCCCCCTTCTAACTGTTCCAAGTTCCAACCAACGATCGCCGAAACTACACTTCGGCCCTATTCGGTGGCGCTTTTGCACTTTTGTTTCTAGAATCCTGTAAGGATTTTTCCATTCCTTACCGAGCGGTACTGCTATCGCGTACGCTCGAACATACCCGAAGCCTCGGGACAGTTCCGGACCTTTCTGACAGAACCGCCTCGGCTTCTCCAGACCTTCTAGTTCGACCTTCGAGAGTTCTCCGGGCCTTCTAGTTCGTCACTTCGAGACCCTTCGATCTCTTTCCCGAACCTTCCCATCTCATGGTTAGACTAGCTCTGGTGTTCCTATATCTTGGCTTGCCATTCCTTGTATCGTCATTCAGTGATTGAACACTTCGTTATTCATTTCCACGCTATTCTGCTTGTTCATTCATAACACCTGGTATTGAGAGCCACTTTCCTCGCTCACCCGTTTTCGTGAGTTGATTTTTTTGGGGGGGGGGGGGTAAGTCCTATTATAAATTGAAGAAGTGTGTGATAGGGTGAGAGTACACACAGATATACCTAAGTGTTGTACTCTCTAATAGGCGGCCCTATACAGTCTATACAAACATGACAAATACACATGTTTGACACACCCCCTAGACTGCATAGGGAATGCCCTAAACAGACAGCTCAGGGCGGCACTACTAGTCCAACCTCTGAGACAAGGGTCTGAGAGACCAGTTAGAAGGAGTACAAACAAGGCAAGAACAAGAGCAGGGCGGCACTACTAGTCCAGCCACTGAGAGAGGACACAAGTCCAGTCTGAGTATATGTATAAAAGACAGTACAAAGTCAAGGTCCTAGCAAGTGAGAGGCTACAGGAACTAGACCAAGCTGTACACAGTGCCGCTGATGATCTTTAGGCGCAAGCGCCTTCGTAAAGATATCAGCTGTGTTGGCACCTGAGGCCAAGTGTACTACGCGAGCCTGACGTCGCTGCTGTAGCTCACGCAGGAGGAAGTACCGCAGCTGAATGTGCTTTGCTCTGCCCTCGAGTCGAGGCTCCTGACACAGGAGGATCATGGCCCTGTTGTTAGCGAACAGGACCGGGGCAGAGCTAGGCCGCTCACCTAAGTCAGTGAGCAAGAAGGTCAGCCAGCGGAGCTCCTGTGCCGCCATGGCACCAGCGTAGATCTCAGCCTCACAGCTGGACTGCGCAACAGACGAGGAGCGGGTAGCTCTCCACGAGACGGCACCTGAGCCAAGGCTGAAGCAGTAGCCCTGGGTAGACCTGAGTGTCTCAGCATCGTCTGCCCACGAAGCGTCTGTGTGTCCAGTAAGGACCACTGGCCTGCGTCCTCCTAACACTAACCCCATGCCTGATGTACTAGCAAGATAACGCAGAACCCTCTTAGCGGCAGACCAATGCTGCGGTCGGTGCCTGCCTGTGGCCACAAAGCGAGCCAAGATGCTGAGAGGGTATGCGAGATCTGGGCGAGTGCAAGTCATCAGGTACATGAGGCAACCCACCAGCTCTGCGTAGGGGCCGCTGGGCTCTACCAACTCCTCAGACACTGGAGCGGAGAGTCTGTGGTCTACAGGCAGAGGGGTGGGCTGTGCGGAGGAGAACTGAAGGCTGAACCTCTGAAGGACCTGGCGCACCAAGTGTGACTGGGTCAGGGTGATGGTGCGCGCAGCTCTGTCCCTGGAGATCTGCAAGCCAAGGTAACGGCGCAGTTCTCCAAGGTCAGTGCACGTGTGTCTCTTCAGCAGCTCTGCCTTCACGGAGGCCAGTGCGTCCCTATCAGCTGTGGCAAAAACCAGGTCGTCGACGTAAACAAGGATGTAGAACGTAGTCTGGCCAGCACGAACGAAGAGTGAAGGGTCTGCGGAAGACGGAAAGAACTGCAGGTCAGCAAGCGTAGCACGGAGAGTGTCGTGCCACTCACGGGGAGCCTGGCGCAGGCCGTAGACGGGGCGTCGTAGGAGCCACTGGGTCCCAGGAGGGAAGGTGCCAGTAAAGCCCGGAGGGCGACGCAGGTAGACCTGCTCGTGTAGGCTGCCCTGAAGGAAGGCAGTGGAGAAGTCGAGGGAGTGAAGCTCGTAGTCACGCTGAGCAGCTAGGTGTAACAGAACCCGAAGAGTAGTCATCTTCGGGGTCGGAGCGAAAGTCTGGAAGAAGTCCACCCCCTCGCGCTGACTGAAGCCTCTAGCCACATAGCGCGCCTTGAAGACAGGCGGCTCTCCAGGAGGGCGCTTCACCTTGAAGAGCCAGCGGCCATCGACTACGTTCACCCCAGGTGGGGGAACTGCGTCGACGAAGGTGCCGGTGGATCTCCAAGATGCCATCTCCTGCTCCATGGCAGCTATCCACTGCGAGGCCCAGGGTCCCGAAGTCGCCTCAGCGTAAGTGCGAGGGGTCGGGATGTCGAAAGCGTCTGGGTCACCCTCAGGGACTAGCAGCATGGAACAGAGATGGGGAGCAGCCTCGGAGAGGAAAGCAAGCTCGAACTGGCGGTCCTCCAGGACGTCACTGCCAAGGGCAGGAGCACCCCCGACAGACGGAGGACAGGCAGGGTCAGAGACCAGAGCGGTAGCGTAGTCAAGGCGGCGGGTAGAGGCGAAGTCAGCGACAGCAGCGACAAGAGCGTCAAGGCACGAGACCGGAACAGACGGGTCGGTAACGAGAGAGGCAAGGACCCGAGGAACGAGAGGACGAGCGGCACGAAGGTAGTCGGACAGCGGGGGGGGCGCAACAAGAAGCGAGGACGGAGGAGGCGACGGGAGAAGGGGAGGACGAGACGCGTGGGAACGAAGCAACATAGGGTGGGAGCGCAAGACAGGCGAGGCAGGACGAGCACGGGAGGGGCGGTGAGACCAGACGTGCGACGGAGGAGTCGGGTCAGGAGACAGGGGAGGGGACACAGGAGGGGAACGAGGGGGGAGACGAGCCGGGGACGAGTCCGGCGGAGGAAAAACAGGGCCGTAGACAGGAAGAGGAGGAGACGGTCGGGGAGGAACAGACGCAGGGTCGGGTGACGGAAGGCCGAGCAGGCGAAGGGTGGACACCGGCAGGGACCGCTGCTGCGGCGGCACAACGGCGACACCTGGACCGCAAGCTGCTCCTCGGCTACCACCGGCACTCTCCACACCAGCACCCCCAGAGGGACCACCCCCAGGGCGACCGGGACGAGCACCCCCAGAGTCAGCGAACGGGGGCTGCGACGGCGGCAGCGGCGGCGGCGGCGACGACGACGGCTGCAGCAGCGGTAGTGGCGGTGGAGGAGGGGACTGGGGAGGGGACACCTGGGGAGGGGCGGCCGGCGAGGACTGCACAGGAGGGCCACCAGAGTCAGAAGACTCCTCAACCGGGTCCACGGACGGAAGGGGGGTGACGAGGGACACACCAGAGGGGGCGGGACGGGGAGGAGGAGGAGGAGGGGCAGGGACTACCGGGGAAGGGGTGACGAGGAACAGGGGGGGGGTAACCGGGGGACCACGGTGGGGAAAGCGGCGGTAGTAGGAGACGGACTCGTCAAAGGTGACGTCACGAGAGTGAAAGAAGCGGTGAGATGGTGGGTGGTAAAAGTGCCAGTCGGACGCATCAATGGGAAAACCGAGGAAGACGCAGGGAAGGGTGCGGGCAGTGAGCTTGTCCGTGCACGGAGGCACGGACGTGAGCAAGGCAGCCCTAGACGTGGAACGCAGACGTGTCACCAGGAGACCCAGTCCAAAGACGGGTCGGCGAAACCTGCGGCTGCTGAGGGTGCGGCCACAGGTTAAGCTGGTGAGACGCGTAGCGCACAGCGAACGGCCACAGAAAATGGGGTGCACCGGCATGGATCATGGAGGTGCGAGCGACCTCCATGACCAAACCGATGCGTCGCTCAGCGACCCCATTCTGCTGTAGGGAGTCCGGTAGGGTGAACGTCTGGGTGATGCCCTCCGCACGACAAAAGCGACCAAGGACACCGGAGGCAAACTCGCCACCACGGTCTGAGTGAAGACGCAAGATAGGGAGACCGCGGTGGACACGCGCAGAGACAAGCCAGGGGATGAGAGCGCCAGGCACGTCGGCCTTGCGCTCCAGGGGAAAGATCGTGGTGTAACGAGTGAAGTCGTCGACAAGCACAAGGAAGTAGCGCTCTCGACGCGGCCCAGGGACGGGGGCGGGGCCCCAGACGTCCAGGTGCAGGGTCTGCAGCAGTGCGGCGGTAGGGGGAAACGAGGAGGAGTGCGGGGCACGGCGAAGCCGACCCTCAACACAAGGCGTGCAAGGTGGGGCTGGGGAGGAGGGAAACGCGGGGAGGGAACCTGGGAGACCAAGGACAAGACCATGCTGGGACATGTGACGCAGACGCTGGAGCGCAGGGTGACCAAGGCGGTGGTGCCACAAGAGAGTCGGGTGAGTGAGGGACCGACAGGAGCAGGCAGCAGCAACTTGGGTAGACGCAGCCACCTGAGGAGGCGGCCCACCCGGGGGGGTCACGGTGTCCAGAGTGAACAGGCCGGACACCGGGTCCCGGGGGAACGTAGACAGGGGGGCACCAGTGGCGGCCTCGGTACAGACAGCATACCGCTCGTGACCAGGGAACGTAGTGGTGACGCCAAGGTCCTGGAGGCAGCCGACACCAACTAGGTTCCTGGAGAACGAAGGG